GATTAGAGTCCATACTCTGAGTATCTGACTGAGGGGGCTACTGAAGATAACTTAGTGAGAGAGTTTGGTGGGATACAGGGTACCTTACACAATCTTTGTTTTTCTTACAGGTTCTAGAACCTCGTTTCAACGTGGAAACAATGGCCCAGTTACTGAACATCCCGCAGAGTAAGACCCTGTTGCGAAGACATTTGGCCACTCATTTCAACCTTCTGATTGGTGCTGAGGCCCAGCGCCAGAAGCGCGATGCCATGGAGTTACCAGATTATGTGCTTCTAACAGCCACTGCCAAAGTGAAGGTTGGTTCAAGCCCATGTCGTTTAATCATGGGTTAAACCACAAACTATATAGCAAAGGCTCAGTTCTGACTGTTACCTGGTTATCCCATTTTCTGGGATTTACAAGTTTTGGGGGTAGGTTGAAGGTATAGGCACCTTTAAGAGTAATCAATAAAATGCAGTTTTGAAGGTTTCCTTCCCGGGGAATTTTTGCCGAAGTCATCTATTTTATTAGAGTTAATAATAGTAAAGAACACGGTGTTGGCTTTTGTCATTGAAACATTGCCAAGGCAGAGAGCCCACGAGTTGGACCCAAGTATTGACTGTAGTTGTCCTCTTCTTGCTGTGAGTAAATCAAGTGTAAGAGCTGCATCTCTCCTCAGACAGAGTCAGCTTGCCTGGCATATCACTGACCAACCTTGCACGTCAGAAAAAGGTAGATGGGCAGAGAATGGCTGCTCCTAGTTTGCATGGATTCATCGACCATACGCTGTTCACACTAATTTTTCTTCTTTTAAATCATTCCTCTGTTAATTCTTCTGAGTGTTATCTCAACCAGCTCACTGTGGGTATAGGCTTTATCAGCTTCTTCACAAGTATCTATCAAGCTCTTTTTTTTTTGAGCCCCTCCTACCTTCTTGGTACTTCCTCTTCAGCCCCCTTTCTGCCTTAGAAGATGTGTTGGATTTGAAGCCTCTGAGAGATTCTGTTCTATATAAATTCTCAGCATCAACCTGATCACCATCCCAACAGTCTGAGGGACTACCCAGTGACTAAGGTGCAGTTTGTCGTCTAAGTGACATTGGAAGTTTTTTCTCCAAAAAAGCAGGGGTTCTTTCAGCAGTCAGCATCCTGTCATGGGAGCATAACAGGCTTGTAAGCTGACCACAGCCTCACCCAGAAAGAAAATACAGTGAGGGTCACTTTCTTTTGCTGATCTTAGAATGGAAAGCCTTGCAAAATTCAATATACAGTAACCCTAAGAAATCTCATTGCATTAAGTCACATTAGCGCAAAATGAAGTCCTTTTGCTGATTTCACTTTCATCGTGGTGACCACCCAGCTACTTGCGGTCAAGAAGGAGAACAAGCACAGTTTTCTGAGACTCTTAGTGGGATCATTGATCATATTTGGATGCGTCTGTCATATGCCTCAGCTGCCTTTGTTTTTGTTGTACAGATTTAATCATTCAATTGCTTTTTTCTATATGATGGAATGAATAATTAAACCATGTGTGTTCTTAGCCCTTTGTTATGTGAATTTTATCAAATCCCTGGATGTTTTTGTTTTCTTTCTTTTAAAGCCAAAGAAACTCACCTTCAGCAATTTTGGGAATCTGAGAAAGAAGAAACAGGAAGATGGGGAAGAATATGTTTGTCCCATGGAATTGGGACAGGCATCGGGGAACTCGTCTAAGAAAGGACTTAAACCTGGCTTGGACATGCGCCTGTATGATGAAGACGATCTGGACCGGTTAGACCAGGTAAATGCCACATTGTATACCTACTTTAAAGTTCTTCCAACACTGAGACACTAAATGGTAGCTTTCTGTACTGTATCTACTAGGAAAGGAAGTCTTCTTCAAATACTTAAAAACAAAGATAATAATAAAATAATGGTGAACACTTACAGATTACTTACTACTTCCCAGGCACTATCCTAAGCACTTAACATATATTGATGTTTGCGGTAATCCTCACACACAGGGAGTATTCTTGTCCTAATTTTAGAGGTAAGGACACAGAGGCACAGAGAGGGAGAAGAGCTGGGATTTCAGCTTTCCGGGCTGGCCCCAAACCCTCTTACCTGTGCTGCTTACCCACGTTATCCTGTCTCTGTACTAAGGAATCTGGGTGTTGAAACAAACTCATACTGCTTAGCCTTTTCAGTATGAAGGATAGTGTCCTTTAATCAATAATCCTTTGGTGCCACTGTTAATATCAGAGCATTTAGTCTAGATGTGCCTGTAGAGTTTTTTACATTTTAACATCTAATTACAGTAGTGCAAAGAGATTATCAACACAAGAGTTCTGTTGCCCCTATCCCAGTCAGTACAACTTGATTATTTCTTCTTAGACTTTTGTTCATTTTGCCACACTATCTTTGAAACTGTGCTAGTTAGTGTGTTACATTGTGGTATGCTCTTTGCAGATGGAAGATTCAGAAGGGACAGTGAGGCAGATAGGTGCATTCTCTGAAGGCATCAACAACCTAACAGTAAGTTTTCAAGATGAATTTAAAATCTTGTTCTAAAAATATGTTTGCAAATAACCCCAAGGGTCTGCGCGTGTAGTGGAGGATGTGGAGTTCCGAGCTCTTGGCTCGCAGTGTGTGTGACTCCCGTCTCCTTGTTTTCCAGCACATGTTAAAGGAAGACGACATGTTTAAAGATTTCGCCGCCCGGTCCCCCAGCGCCAGCATTACCGATGAGGACTCAAACGTTTGACCATAGCACCCGGACGAGCATTAGGAGCTCCTCGTCTCCTTCCACTGTATTCCTCAAACACAGTATATCCAACAAGCGGCAGATTGTATATTGTTTAGTGATCCATCTTCTCACGTACACGCGGGAATGGGAAGCGGGGGAAATGTGCCTATTTTAAAGCTGCCACAGAAAGTGAGACACTGGTGAATGAGAGTGTAATTGTTTTTCCTCTATTTAATGTAAAAATCTGTGATATATTATATTTAAAGTATTGCATTTATATGAGTACTTTGCTGTAGTGTTTCCAGTCAGTCACAGTGTGCGGGATTTGGGGACGCGGTCACCTGGCGGTGGCTGATTCTGTCCTGTCGGTGTGTTGGCAGCAGCGCGGTGGCCTGCCGTTGACGCAGAACCCGGCAGGCTTCCAAAGTCCCCATGTGGAACTTCTCTAAGCACCCAGCGTGCCCACTGAATGCCAGCCACACCTCCACTGGCCTCTTAGCGTCCTGTTTTTATATACTTTTCTAAATGTATGTGTATATTTAGTACATGGAACATAGAACTCTTATTTTGTGACATACATAAGGAAAACGGTTAAAAAAGATCACATTGAAAAAATACGGTGTTCAAAGTTCTCATGTGACAGCTGGTTCTTGGACAGGTCGGGACGATCTTTCATTCTCCACAACCGAACTGAATGATGCTGATCATTCGGACTGCGTTAGTGTGTATGAAATGACCCCTCTTTGATGACATACCACAAAATGGCTGGTTAGCTTTTTAAGAACCTCAGACTTCATCTTGGATTCTTTTAACTTACAAGGAAGAACTCAAAGGACATTTAAAATCTATTAACTTGATTGCATTCAGAAGCTCCCCCCAAATTTGTAGAAATAATTTCTGAAGAAACCAAACCAAAACAAAAACCTTTACAGTATTAAGATTCTTATCTTCCTCTTTTGCTAAATATATCATGGCATCAAAGTAGCAACAGTCAGACTAATGTTATTAATCGCACATTTCTCGGGCTATTGATGAATGGAATCTCTTTTAAAAGCTGAGTATTTGAACATATTTTCTCAATCAGAGTTCAATAACTCTGAGGCTGGAAAATTAGTTTTACAATGGCTGCATTGTGGTGATAAACTGTAGATCATGTTTTTCTGTAGCACAAGGCCCAAATAAACATTCTTTTATAAAGAAAAATAGAAGGCTTCAGTAAAAACTGTTACTCTGTTTATTATCCATTTTAGGGGTTTTAGAAAGAATATGCTCTTTTTCATTCAGTACTACGTCAATACTCATGATAGTCAACAGTGGTGAAGACAGGCTTCCACAAACTGGCCCGGGGCGGGCAACTCCTTGTACGCCAGTGGACTTACAAACTGCGTTGGAATGCCAGTGATATGATCGCTCACGTTATCAGCAAGTTACCGAGCTTGTCGTCAAGGAACCTATAATACTGTACTACTGTTTATTCACAGCTACAATGATTTGATGCTAACAGTCATCTTTTGCCCCCTACCATTCATTATTTGGTAACTGTATTGGACTCTTAATGTACTGGTGTTTTATTTTAATGTGGATTTATGCTACCATTTGAGAAACAATTTGTTATCAAACCTGGTTGAAAATACCAGGAGACTGTTACAGATGCCAAATAGTTTTTATTCAGGACATTGTAACATACTTGACTATATGTGACGTGGTTAAAACCTTTTTGATGATATGTATTTTACTTATAAAATATTATACACTGCTGGTGTCACCATATGAAAAGAAATAAAGTCAGTTGATAATTGCCTCATATTTTTATTGTCTGTTCCTTGAGTTTCCTTTGTTCAGAATAACCACGAGGCTTTATTTCTCATAGAGATAACAATGAACTCTTTACAATTCCAAACCCCCATAAAACTTTTTGACAGGAAGCACAGGCAGCTGAGCTGGGGAATGAGGAATGATGGCAGAGGAGATCTTGGAAAAGCAAAGAGAAATGACTCACCTGCAAATTTGAAGAAGTTAGTTGTAGAAAGTGTATGGTCTTTAAAGAATTAAGTGCTATTTTTAATTTAACTAAAATTTGAAAAGATGAAACATATCTTGGAAAAGATAACCAAATATTAAAAGTAGAGTGAATATAACTAGAGAAGAACAGAGGTTTTTGTGAAAGTTAGTATATCTGACTTAACACACCAGCAGGAGCCTGTGTGAACACAACACACCCAGTTGGCAAACAGGGAGACCTATTTGTTTTGCTGTATGTATATACACTTAGCTGCACCAGGTAAGCTGTGGAGTTAGAAAACTGAGACGACATTAACAGATGTGACTTCACTGCAAGACTTTTACTCCGAAAAGGGAGTCATTCTGAACAAGGTTTGCATGTTTGACATTTGGAGGCAGTATTGATCGGGCGCAGAGAAAATGGGGCAGAAACCATCGCAACAGTCGGCTCTGGAGGACAGCAGAGAGGTCCTCCAACTCTGTGAGGTGGTCAGTGGAGCTATTGTGCATGCCGCTGGGAAGCTGCAGGGGTATCTTGGATTTGAAGACCCTCTGAGCAATCTATGCCCAGCTCCAAGCACTCTGAACGAGATCTTCCTAATTCACTTCGTCACTTTCTGCCGAGAAAAGGGAGTTGACAGGTGGCTCACCACCACCAAGATGACCAAGCACCAAGCCCTGCTGTTTGGGGCCGACTGGATTTGGACCTTTTGGGGATCCGATAAGCAAATAAGGCTTCAGCTGGCGGTGCAGACTCTGCAGATGTCTTCTCTCACTCGCGTGGAATCCAAGCCTTGTGAGCGCCCCAGTCCGGAGTTCTCGGCAGAGCTGTCTTCCGGGAAGAGCAGATTTGATAAGCTGGAAGAGTTCTGTAACTTGATAGGGGAGGATTGTCTGGGCCTGTTCATCATCTTTGGTGTGCCAGGAAAGCCTAAAGATGTCAGAGGAGTTGTCCTGGACAGTGTCAAAAGTGAAACAGCGAGGGGCCATCTGCCAGGAGGGAAGGCTGTGGCACGATTTGTCCTGGAAACCGAAGACTGTGTCTCCATCAGAGAGCTGCTTGGAAACTGTCTGAGTAAGAAAGATGGGCTAAGAGAGGTGGGCAAGGTTTACATTAGCATCCTCTGAACTGGATTTGCGTGATGAGACTGGCCTGTAAGATGAAAAGAAAAGGACATTTTATTCTAATAAGCAAGCTTATCCACTTGTATCATCCCAACATGGGATTCCACCCTCCCACCCCTCCCTGTAATGAATGAAAATTGGGTGAAAGTGTATGTGTCATAATTATGGTGTGAGTACAACTTTTCCCATGTTGTTGGGAAAACTGACAGTTTAGCTTAATCTTTCAGCTCTACTCAGTAATAAAAACAGGACAAGAAGTTTGATTTATAAAAAAAAATAGATGTTTGTTTGAAATAATGAGTCTAGCTCTTGAAAGTGTACCATGTGTTTTTACGGCCATGGGTGGGAGAAGGGAGGGAGAGGTGGTGTGTAAGGCTGTGGAACAGGGTTAGTTACGTCTGCAATACCAGCTTCAGTTCAGGACTGAGCAAAACCTCGCACTGCCTTGTGCCCGCTGCCCTCACTCTCACATCTCCCCGAACTGCTTTCTTTGTGCAGGGAGGCCCCTGGTGGGATTCACATTGGGATCTGCTTAAGTGTTAGCTTTACCTATGATTTAAACACAGTAACCCGTATAACAGTCATTTGTAGCCCTGGCTGGTGTGACTCAGTGGATTGAGTGCTGGCCTGTGAACCGAAGGGTCGCCAGGTCCATTCCCAATCAGGGCACATGCCTGGGTTGCAGGTCAAGTGCCCAGTGGGGGTGCCCACAAGAGGCAACCAAGCACTGATATTTCTCTCCTTCTCTTTCTCCCTCCCTTCCCCCTCTCTAAAAATAAATACAGTATTTAAAAATAAATACATAAAAACATATCTTTAAAAAAAACCCAATCACTTGTAGTGATGCCTAACATTTGTTTAGCCTTTGCAGTAAGGATATAAAAACCACCATTACTTAAAATCCTGGGGTTAGGACAGTGTGTGTGTGTGTGGGGGGGGGGGGGGTTATTGCCCCCCCTCCCCCAACTCTTCTAGAAGGTAGAAGCAAAAAGTGCTTAGAATTGTAAATGGAAGACACATTCATTTACATGACTGCCAAATGCCTGCTCCATGCTAGTTAGGCCCTGTTCTACACCCTGTCAACCCAGCAGGAAAAAGAACTATGTCCCTATTTTAGGGGGAACTTCTCTCTTAATGGTGGAAGACAGAAAGTAAATATATGTAAATATATTTTAAACGCACATTTAAGAAATATAACAGAAGTGTCGTAAAGAAGAATAAAGCCTCAATGAGGAGGGGATAATTAACTAGGAATCTGGATTGGATGGAGAGAGCATCAGTGCAGATATCTGGAAAAGTGTTCTAGGCCTCGAGAACCGCAGATGCAAAGCACCAGAGAAGGGAATGTGTTTGTGATACGTTTGAGGCGTAGCAGGGAGGCTGGTGCTGATGGAGCAGGGCGAGCCAGGGCGAGAGTGATAGGAGACAAGGTTGGAGAAGTAGCCAGCAAACAGATCGAGTAGATTTTACTTGTAAGGACTATGGATTTTCTTCTGATCTGACTGTCCCTTTAAAAACCTCATTTGATTGCTGGGTGGAGACTAGATTATAGGGAGGAAAGAGTAAGAGCAGAGCCCAGGGCAACAGGTAGGAAGCTATTAAAGGAAAGCTGTGGAGAGAAAAGGGGTCCTGGACAGACCAAAGTGGCCGAGGAGGAGGGGTACAGAGGTTGGGTTTTGGAAGAGTTGAAGGTAAAAGCATACAGCATTTGCTGATAATTGGATGAGGGGTATGAAATACATCACAATTAAAATATTGTATTTCTAAACTTCTTAAGTATTAAGAATATATGCAAAGGCAGAACTAAATTTGCCTTTGATGTTCCTTCATTCCAGGAAACCCAAAGGTCAAGGAAAGTTTTAAGCCCCCTGCCTTCAGTAAGTGAACATGAATAGGCCCAGGAGACATCTCTTGAAGTTGTTAATTATTCCTCCTTCGTTCCTGGAAGGATATAATACCCAATTAATGTTTCCTTGGCATATAGTGACCCCTGTCTACAGCCATGCTGTGAAGAGTGAGCTATCAAGAAGTTGGTGTAGTATAGTAGAGTATTCAACTTGGAATTAAATGTGGGTTTGTGTCTCAATTTTCTTAATCTAGTGGCTTAACTCTGATTTTTTTACCTGTAAAATGGGGCTGACCAACTAATTCAAAGACAATGCTTGTGACATTTTCTAAACTATAAATGTAAGCATACAGAGATTTTGAAGTCTAGTACAAATTGTAAATATGTTATAAACAGCTGGATGATAGAAATGAAAGACTTACCATATTTTTTTAATTAAAATAAAAAATGTGAAGCTCTTGCTGATTTAAAACATACTGTATTCTCTGATTTGAAAACCTTCATTCTGGTGTCAAATTAAAATACGGAAATGTGGAAATTCACATCTTCAGGAGTCTCACCGCCACCCCATACCCACTCCCTCTAGTTTGTGGTTTTCCCTGCCAGCACTTGTGTATTAAAAATATTTTATGCAAATGGAATCATATGATCCATAAATGCCTTTTTACATTAACAACTTAATTATATATTGTGTACAATTTTTCACACTAATAGATTTTTATCCACTTGTTTCTTTTTAAAGCTGGCATCAATAGTTCTCAGTCCTGTGTGCATACCAGATTTACCTGGGGAATTTAAAAACAATAAAACAATATTCTAAACACACCTATACCAACGGATCAGCATCTCAGAAGGAGGGACCCTAAATGGATATTTTAGTATCTCTTGAGATAATTCTAATATTCAAACAGGATGAAGTAAGACCCATCTATCTAAGTAGTAGTCTATGTTGTCTATACCATTGTATATTTAGCCAATACTGTTTTAATTGATATTTAGGTTGCAAACTCCATTCACATACCTGGATATTTGCATATTGCCTATAACATGTTTGTGAATAGACATACTTTGTTCACTTTTTATTAAGAGGTAGTTTTGATAAATAGCTCTAATAGAAAGTCAGATAGACTTTCTAATAGAAACCTACATTGGATTATTGTAGATTTCAAGTATAATAAAAACCCATTATGAAAATACCTAATATTTAAAATTGTCTACACAAGGACTAGCTACATAATTTGTGGTGCCCAGTGCAAAATGAAAATGTGGAGTCCTTGATCCTTAAAATTTCAAGATGGACAAAGGAGTATTCAGCCAAGCGCAGGGCTCTTCTAAGTGCAAGTCACATGCCCATGAGAGCAGTGTTCTTTCTACAATATGTTGTGTTATTTTGTCATGAAGTCCAAAGAAGAAATTTTTTATAATGAGTAAGTGACTGCACGTTAAGATCTTTTCCAGTTGAAAAACTGTGCAATTCTTAGTAAATCCTTTGTACACAATAGCACACACTTTACTACTTACACTGCATGAGCCAGGTATTATTGCCTATTGATAGCATTACAAATGATTTTTTAACTTTTAACATAGAATAAACTTCATTGTACTTGATGTCTCAGAAAACAGTAAGTATTTCTCTGGCTCCACTAACTCTTAATAGTGTTCATGCACTTTGTTCTTAGGGAAGGAGTGAAACAAAAGACAAAGCATAGGAAAATAGACTGAGGACATGAGTCTCTTAACATCTTGCTCAGAAGTTAAGAATTCTCTGAATATAAACTAATTTTATAAGATTTCATATTTCTGCCCTGGCTGGCGTAGCTCAGTGGATTGAGCGTGGGCTGGGAACCAAAGTGTCCCAGGTTCGATTCCCAGCCAGGGTACATTCCTGGGTTGCAGGCCATAACCCCCAGCAACCGCACATTGATGTTTTCTCTCTCTCTCTCTCTCTCTCTCTCTCTCTCTCTCTCTCCCCCTTCCCTCTCTAAAATAAATAAAATCTTAAAAAAACAGAATTCATATTTCTTTTACCCCTAAATTTCTATGGTATAGGCCTTGCACTTCACTGTACTGAAGTGTATACATTCCAGAGAGAAAAAGTGGCTGCTATATTGACTCTGAGCTTAATTCCAATGCCACCATTAATACTATGTCTTCTGAAATGTAACTCAATCACAATGGTCCTGAGGGAGATATTACTGACCTATTTTCCTTGAAATTGAAGTGCAAGGATGTTAGGTGGACTTGACCAAGATCACAAAAAAGCAGAGCCTGGATTCAAACTCCATATTCATCTGACTAAAAAGCCATGCTTCTAATCTTAAAAATAGAGCAGAGGGGAAAAGCACCATGTGAAGACAGAGGCAGAGATTGGAGTGATGTGTCCACCAGCCAAGGAATGCCATGTATTGCCAATAACCATGAGAAGCTAGAAGAGAGGCATATACAGATTCTCCCTCTGAACTTCCATAAGGAACCACCACCAACCCTGCCAACACCTGGATTTTACAGTTCTAGCATCTAGAACTGAGAGAAGAAATTTCTGTTAAGTCACCCAGTTTGTGGTACTTTGTTACAGCAGCTCTAGAAAACTAATACACCATACTTCTGCTTTGGAACAGTAACGGGATAGTGAGAAGCCAGAAGAGATGAGAACGGTGATTATTACAAATACTTGCCCCATCATGCCACTTCTCCCCCTCACATAATGATTGATGCCCGTGGTGCACTGAACGCTCACAGGAAGAATACTCGGAGGCAGCTGCGCGCTTCTGCTCTGCTGTGTGTATGCTCACCAAGAGTCAGTTGTGTTTGTTCCCAGTTGTTATTATACCTTTGTACTTTGATTAAATGTTATACTTACCATTTGAAAAAAAAACACGATAATTTTATTAAGAGTTGGATGCTAATTCAAACACAGGGTAAAAATAAAATTGGAGAATTTATTAAAGAACGACCATTATTTTCTAAGTCCTGCTGAGTAGTTTTTATCATTCTAACCTCATCTACAAAGGAGCTAACCAAATCATTGAAAACAGTTGCTTCCTGCTCGCACAGGACGCTCACTCGGTGCCAGTACTCTAGCCAGATGTTTTCTGTATTAACTTGATTAGGCTCACAGCCTGGAGAGGGTGAGACCAAATTTTACACTCAGGTATCCTTTTACCTACTATCGGATACTGCCTCTCCCCCTAGAGTGTCACTTTGCACTAGCTGAATACTTTCTTTAAGCTAAGAAAGTATAGAAAAGCAGCAATCGCAGAGGAGCAGGGCGCTAAGGTAGACCCTGAGCCACATGAGTTCCCACTCAGACTGCACTTTTCTTCCGTGAGTCACATTTCCCCCATTCCTTAGGATCATTATTTGCCATTGTCTTTAGACTGGCTGCTTCAGTTTTTCTTTTAATCGTCTCGTGTCTTCTTCTTTACTTTTTTTCCTCTTTTCGGGGTGCACTTTGACTCTGGATCTGATTTCCCAGACCCAGGTTTATTCTATTTCTACTCCCCACGAGCGGGGCAAAAAGGGGGGGGCGCATGCGCGGAAGCGGCCTCAGGCCCGCTCCTCCATCTTCGTTGCTTCGGGATCGCGCCTGTCCCCTCTGGCTTGCCGTCCTCGCAGCCATGGCGGCCGCCTCGTTCCCCGTATGGCTGTCTCTGCAGCCAGGGGCCAGGGCTCTGCGTTCCTTCTCCACCGCCCTGTCTCCGACCACTCTTGCTGGGACACCAAGCCCACGTGAGTGTCTGCTGCGTCGCCTCCGGGCTTTGGGGAAGGTGAGAGGGCGGGATATCGCCCCTTCGTGGCCGCTGAGGTTGCAGAGTCAGCTTTGCACAGGGTGGAGGAGTGAGGTCGAAACGTCCTCTGCCAGCCTCTCCCTGGACCACCTAGTAGAAAAGCCGTGCATGCGAGTCTGTCCTCTATGGACTTGTCACCCCATGACTAGCCGTGGGTTTCTGCTTCCCCATTCCCTGGGCGCTAAGAACTTGCCCGCTCCCTCCCCTGTGACCTGCGTTGGTGCTCCGTCCCACGATCGCTGGCACAGTGTTTCTCTCTGGTTTCGTGGGTAGTGTTTCCTGGGTAGTGGACTACGGCTTTTCCCGAACGTTAAGGGAAGCATTCATCTGTCCCAGAGCAAACTGCAGCTCTGAATTCCAGGCCCAGCTATGCCACCCAATGGTATGACCTTCATTCCAACGCAGTTTGAATGACCTTCACTCAGATGATCCGGACGCATGGTTCCGTTCTCATCTTCTAGGAATCTAGTGAAAAAGACATTTTTTAAGCAGACTATATGCAGTGTAAGGTGTTGTAGAAGACTTCGGAGTAGGGTAACGTCGGAGCGTTGGGAAAGAGCCTAGAGGAGTCCAGAAAACTGTCCAGGAGGAGACAGGTCCAGTTACACCAGGTGCTATCCGTGCTTCCTTCCTACTGACAGTTCAGTCTAGGCCACCATATCCTACGTCTTTACTGATACCTATTTCTGCTTATGCTCCCCTACATTGACTTCTCACAATGGCCAGAGTGAAGGGTTCAAGAAGCAAATCTTACTTTGCCACACCCTTGTTCAAAATCTGCAAGTAGTTTCTCATTGCTTTAAGATAAATGATAAATTCCTTAATGCATCATCGTGGCTGTTCATAATCGTAACACATGTCTTTAATTTTTTATTAAAGCATTCTACAAATACTTTACTTTAACTTCTACTATGTGCTAGGCAGTGTTCTAGATACCAGGATAGAGCAAGGTCCCTAACCTCATGAAGTTTACATACTTTTGGGAAAGTCAGACTGTAAACAAATAAATAACATCAGTGCAATGTAAGGTAGTGATTAGTGCTGTAGAGAAAAAAGTGAATCAGGGCCCTGGCTGGTGTGGCTCAGTGGATTGAGTGGTGGCCTGCTCTGGGTTCAGGTCCCAGTCAGGGCACACGCAAGCCAGGTTCCCAGTTGGGGGTGTGCAAGAGGCAACCAGTCGATATGTCTCTCACACACTGATGTTTCTCTCCCTCTCTTTCTCCCTTCCCTTTCTCTAAAAATAAAATCTTTTTTAAAAAAGTAAAAATAAAGCAGGATATTGAGGTTGAAGGAATAGTGGCTATTAGGTGGGATAGGATAGGATAGGATAGGCAGTCTTTCTGGAAAGAACTTGGGGAAGTGACATTTGAGCACAGTCCAAAACTATGCTGAGATAGGGGGAAGGAAGAGCGGGGGAGAGCATTGTTGGCATAGGGAATCGCAAATGCAAAGGCCCAGAAGTAAGAATAAGTTTATGGGTGTGATCCGGGAACAGAGAGAAGGCCAGTGTGGCTAGAGCTGAGTAAGCAAAGTGGAGAATAGTAAGTGATGGCCTGATCTTCTGAAGGCTTGGGCATGTTTGGGATCACACTGGAAGATATGAACAGGGAAGTGATGTAATGTGATCTACACTTTTAAAAGACCCTGAGGAGAACTAACTTTAGGAGGGTAAGAGTGGAAGTCAGGAGACCAGTTTGGAAGCTGTTGTAGTACAAAGGAGATGATGGTGTTTTGGGCTGAAGTAATATTGGAGAAGGTGGTGTGGCTGAATTTAGGGCATACAGGGTCTGGCGCAAATAATGCCTCTTTTTTTTTAATTATAAACTCTTAGTACAAAGCCATAAGAATGTAATTCTGTAACATCATAATATCACACTCAAGCACACCATATGACATTTTAGATGAAATGTTCAAATTAAAACTGTAAGTTATTACACCCATATTATTACCCTACCAACCACATTCAAGTAGGCATTACTTCCGCTGGACCCTGTATTTTGAAGGTAGAGCTAATGGAATTTACTGATGTATTTGTTACAGGGTTTGAGGAAAAGTCTTAAGGAAGCATGTTAGAAATTTGTCCTGAGTAATTGGATGAATGAGAATACCATTCATGGGGATTGGGAAGGCTGGAAGAAGATCAAGAGCTCTGCCCAGGAGGTGTTATACTTGGGATGCCTGTTAAATATCTGCAGTCCCTGCTCAGTGCGCTCTCTGCTCTACTCTGAAGTTTTAGCCATATTGAATTTGTCTGCTTTGATTTTCCATCTTTTTCTCTAGAACACTTTTTGTCCCTTGTCCAACCACAGGGCTACTCCTGCTCATCCTTAACGTTTTAGCTTCAAGTCAACTTCCACAGGGAGATTTTCTCCAACTACTTGACTGGATTTGGTCCCCTGCTATGTGTTTTCATTAATATTTATCATTGTTTATTGAAATTACTTGTTAAATAGTTAGTTGCCTTACTTGACAGACTCTCCATTCTGTGGGAGTGAGGACTGTGTTTCTCTTGTTCTTTCCTGCCTTCCTAATTCCTGGTGTACACTACCACTCCAAAACTTTTGAAGGCATAAATGAAATGCTACTGAGGGATGAGAAAGAATTTATCAGATGAAGAAACGAGGAGGGAAGAGAGATGCGGACTGAAGTCAAGAAGATGGGAGGGAAGCATATTTTAGGCAAACAGAACAAAGTTCAGAAAGACCGAAGGGCCTGGTACTGGAAATTCAGTGTAGCTGTGCGCCCTTGTGAAGGGAGATGAGCTAGAGATATGAACTGTATGCTGTGCTAGTGTCACAACTCTTGGTCCTTAGTTTGCTTGGCTATAAATGACCTATAAATCAGGATAGCAAGTTCTTGTGAAGAATAAGATTAAATGAGATAATGAAAAGCACTTAGTACAGTGTCTAGCATGTGAAAGGGCTCATTAAATACAGTTATTATTTTAGAATAGCAGCACAGGCATAAGATAATATTTTAAAAGGTATATACTGTAAGTAATCTACCCTCTTCTACAGTTATCTGATTTATTAGGAATGGCTGTGATTTTTGTTATTGTTATTATAGCATTGGCAGTTCTAATATACAGGAGAGAAGGAAAAACTTAAGGGTTTCTCTTTTTTTGGTAGAAAGAACAATATTTCCAAATATGAGCAAGTATACTTAAAATTAGAACATTTCAAACTATCTTTCAAGACACAAAAATTCTTATTTCTAACTAAATATTTTAACTTGGGGAAGTAAGTTTATTTGACTATGAACCTTAAAACTTATTGAAAATATTCCTTTAGATGATGATTTCACTTTATGTTTTAATAACTGGATTTTATTAACTACTTCTGACTCTTTATTTTCATTAAGATGATTTTAGTTCCTGAGCTTACAGAAAGTGGATTATTGTTTCATTTTTTTGTTACTGAATACCTTAAACTGTTCAGATTATGGGATCATGATCAGTGTTGAATGATCTCTTATAAAATTCTCTGTCTGACTACTGCATTGTCTTTTAGGTGTAGCAGGAAGAACGTCCAAATCTGAAAGACCACCGAGAAGAAAGGTAAACAGTGAACGTATTTAGTACATACTGCCTTAACGGTTTCTGAAGTTCTGCAGTGAGGCAGGTTTTCGCAGTGAGGCAGGTTTTCACAGTGAGGCAGCAGGGTGCAGTCCAGGAAGGGCTCCATAAGGGGACCTTTAAGGGGATATTTACTCGGTAACTATCACAGTGTTGACTCTGGTCTTGGGCTGGTCTTTGTCAGTACCCTGAGAATGGATCATCTTTGAGAGGTAGACTCACCCACATAGTCCCAGAAAATAAGCCCATAGACCAGAATACAGAATTATTTTTGATGATGCTTGTAATAGTCATGTAGCCTGGGTGGGATGTGTGCATTAATCTAACAGGTTTGTTCTCACCTTGTGGACATCTCTTTGGAAAAATCCAAATTATAATATCACTTGGCATGGTCTTAGAACAAAGGCATGTTAGTTGGAAGTTAAATGGCATCAAATTATAGTTGTCTAGAGTATTTATTTTCAAAGGACTATTGCCAGCTTCCAGGACAAACTACACTTAGTTTAGATATTGTTTAGAGGGGTGTTGCTGAATTTTGCCTCTTTAAACCACATTTTTGTATGCTGGACATCACCTTCTACTGGATATATTTAAGTATTTATGTACATGTATTGCGATTGAGTAAGCAATCATGTGGCTGTTCCCCGGACCTAGGAGATATATACTTTCTTATTATCCGTTCATTCAATTAGCTTAACCTTAATTTGTTTCCAAGTTCTCAATGTCACCTCATGTACTGACTTCCATCAAAGAAATTTTAAAAGTTATTTCAAAATATATTGTTATTCACCCCCTTCGTAAACAAAATGTAAAAAGTTTGTTAAAAGTCTAGGTAAATAAATAAGATAGAGATATTTTTAGTAAAGGAAATGTGCTATTAAAGGGGATCCTTGCCCCAGAGGGTTTGAGGAACCGGTGCAGAAATAGGTAGGTTTGGTGTTTTTTTATTTGAATAGCAGTAGCTTTGTGGGAGGTCACATTTTATGTAGGTTGCAACTCTGCTAGTGTTCTCTTAATTACATGTTTTCTTTTGTTTAAAATTTGAAAATGTGTTCATATTTAAAGTAATAAACCATTTTATGTTTCTTAGGCACTACCTCCTAGGACGGAGAAAATGGCCGTTGACCAGGACTGGCCTAGCGTTTACCCGGTTGCCGCGCCGTTTAAGCCCTCGGTCGTGCCTCTTCCCGTTCGAATGGGTTATCCAGTGAAAAGGGGAGTGCCCATGGCAAAGGAGGGGAATCTGGAGCTTCTAAAGGTAAGATAAGTTGATGGTTCTTTGGCTAAGACTTATATATAAATAAATGGTGATCTTCCTCCCATTCTCCTTCCCCCCCTTATACTTCAAGGCTCAGTATATAACAGCTTATTGTGTTTTAATTTAATTTTTCCCAGATAATAATGGGTATTATATTTTGATTATTCATGGTAAAGAAGACTCAAATAATCCTAGGCATTTAAAAATGTAATTAATTGGTCCTGTAGCTTCCCATTTGGCTTTTTCTGTTCTGTTCTATCTTTTCTGTATTGTGTCTTTCAGATGGAACTAGGAAAAGTGAAATAATCTGATTTGAGATGGATAACTGGGGGTGATGAAGGTTCCACTTGTAAAATATTTTTAACTTTCTGTCCAGAAAGGTGGAATATTATTTAATATTCATGTTATTGTCCTTAAACTTTATTGCTTAAAACAAAATAGGGCATATTAAATGTCTAAATTATTAGCATCTATAGTGATTTGTGAACTGCAGGTTTTGTTTTGTGTTTTTAAATTTGCAGAAAGGAGAAGGGAGGGAGAAAGAGGGAGAGAGAGAAGAGTGTGTGGTTGCCTGTCACGTGCCCGCTACTGGGGATCTGGCCTGCAGCCCAGGAATGTGCCCTGACTGGGAATTGAACCAGTAACCCTTTGATTTGTAGGCTGTCACTCAATCCAGCCCACTTAGCCACACCAACCAAGGCTGAACTGTAGGCTTTTAAAGAAAATGTAAATATGCTTAGCCTGGGAATGCATGTCTTAGATGGTTTCCTCTTATATACCATGGAATTATCACCAACAAACTGTTTTCCATTAAACAAGAATCTTAAAATACCAAGAAAAATCTGATAAAATGTGATGGTAAAAAATGAGATGGTGACATGGAGAAGGGCTTACCTGCTGCTAGAAGCAAGAGGAGTTGGAATTTGGAAATGGGAATGTTTCAAGAGATAAAACAAAACAAATATTGAGGAAATTATTTTTTTCTTCAAGTGAAAGAGGAGAAATGAACTTAGTTTTTTTTAAAAAGGTCTTTGGAAAATATCACTGGGTGAGAGAGTAGCAATATGTTTGTAATAACTCTAGTGGTTGTGAATATATTTTAATAAAAACAGATATCTAAATATTTAATGCATACCATCCCTTTTAAGATTCACCTGTATGCTTAGTCCAGCGAAGTGGTTTATTCCTAGTAAGTGCCATTGGATGAGTTTGTGAGCTGCATAGAACAGTGCCTGTATAAACGTTATGCAGGCATCAGCTATTATTTTTTTCCAGCTATTTTAAATGTCCAGTTTAATTAATTTATTTTTTCTTTTATGATGTTAAGATTATATTTCATGTTTCAAAAATAGAAGTATAGAAAAATGAAGCCACCTACTCCGTAGTCACAGTTTTCATTGCTTATTTCTCTTGATTAAACATTTTCTGATCAACACTTAAGATTCCAGGCATAATGTTTGGAGTAACTTTTTAGCTTGTTCAAATTATTCTTTCCAAATGAGTCTAACTAAATTTTCTCTTAAGTTGCTTAATATTATTCAAGAAACATCTAATACATTTAATTATTTATTTGAAGGAATTCAATCTCTGACCTTTCCTAAACTTCCCATTGGCCCTGTGAATGATTAGGTAGCCTCTTAATATATCATCATATAAATATTCCTAACTTCATTAAATTAATTGTTCAGTTAAGATTGCGAGCTTTATTTATTCATTTAGCTCTAAAATGTCTGCTAAGTACAAAGTGGAAACTGTCACAGTGCTTTGTAATCCCGGGCAGTCAGGGTGGTTAAACAGTGATCTGTGTCCTTCGGTGCTCTCAGTTCTGTAAAGGAAAGATACTCACCTGTCGATTCACGGCAGGAAGAGTGCTATTAAAATGATGTTTCTTTTTTCCAGTGTTGTCATTTTAAGATACTTGGTACTGAATCTATATTCCAAGGGATTTATTTCTTGAATTCATAACACTGTTGACATAGAATTAATACTGTAAAAAACTACCACATTTTATTATAAAGCTTATTGGGCCTATGATTTAGTTGTATCAGCAAATTGTCTATTACATGTTTTTAAGACATTTGACTAATTTATCCTTTAAATTTCACTACTTTAGATCCCCAATTTTCTGCATTTGACTCCTGTAGCAATTAAAAAGCACTGTGAAGCTCTTAAAGGTAAGTGGTTGTTTTGTTACATCATTGACTTTGAATAGAATATTCTCTCTTCTAAGGATAAAGGGGTTCATTTAGCAAGACAGTATAATGTTTGTAAATATTTATGCACCCACTATAGGAGCACCTGCATGTATTAATCAACGCTAACAGAAGTGAAGGGAGAAGTAAACAGCAATACACTAATAGTAGGGGACTTCATGCCCCACATTCAACGTTGGATAGGTCATCTGGGCAGAAAAAGATGAGGAGACACTGGGCTTGGGCTACGCATTAGACCACATGGACTTGACATATATGGAACACCCCACCCAGCAGCTGCAGAATTCCTGTTCTCAAATGCACGTGAAAAATTCTCAAGGGTAGATTGTGTTAGGCCACAAAATGAGTCTTAATAATTTCAGAAAACTGAAATCATATGAAGCAACTTCTCTGACCGTGGTGGCATAAAACTAGAAATCGATTATAAGAAGAAAACTGGAAAAGTCACAGATATGTGGAGATTAAACAGCATGCCCTGAACAAACAGTGGGTCAAAGAAGAAATTAAAAGAGAAATAAAAAAATATCTTGAGACAAATGAAAGTGGAAAAACATCATACCAAGATTTAGCAGATTTAAAAACTCAGTTCTAAGGGAAGTTAATAGCAATAAATTTCTACATTAAGGCACATGAAAGATCTCAAATATCTAACTTCATATGTTAAGGAACTAGAAAAAGAAAAATAAACTAAGCCCAAAGTTAGAAGGAAGGAAATAACAAAGATCAGAGTGGAAATAAATGAAATAGGGACTAAAAAAGACAATAGAAAAGATAAATAAAACTAAGAGCTGGTTTTTTGAAAAGATAAATAAAATACACAAACCTTTACTTAGACTCACCAAGAACAAAATAGAGAGGATTCAAATAAGTAAAATTATAAATGAAAGGAGACATTCTAACTGATAACACAGAGATGCAAAAGATTGTAAAAGGTCACTATGACTAATTATACACCAGTAAATTGGATAATGTAGAAGAAATGGATAAATTCATGGAAACATACAGCCTACCATGAATGAATCATGATTAAATAAAAAATCTGAACAGACTGATTACTAGTAAGGAGATTGAATCAGAAATAAAAAAACCCTCCCAACAAAGTCCAGTACCAGCTGGCTTCACTGGTGAATTCTAAACATTTAAAGAACTAATACAAATTTTTCTCAAACTCTTCCAAAAAATAGAAGAGGTGGGAACACTTAACAGATTTATTTTTATAAGGCCAGCGTTACCCTGACACCAAAGCCAGACAAGGGCATTACAAGAAAAGAGAATTACAAGCCAATATCCCTGACGAACATCGATGCAAAATTCCTCATCAAAATAGTAGCACAGTGAATTCAACAGTACATTAAAAGGATCATACACCATGATGAAGTGGAGTTTATTTCAGGGATGGAAGGATGGTTCAGCATCTGCACATTGGTGTGATATACCACATTCATAAAATAAAGGATAAAAATTATATAATCATGTCAATAAATTCAGAAAAAGCATTTGACTAAGTTCAACCTTTGATGAGAAAAACTCTCAACAAATTATGTAGAGGGAATGCACCTCAACATAATAAAGGCCACATACAACAAGCTCACAGCTACTGTTATACTCAGTGGTTCTCTATCATCAGGACAAGACAAGGACAAGTCACTTTTATTCAACATAGTAGTAGAAGTCCTACCCAGAGCATTTAGGCAAGGAACAGAAATAAAAGACATCCACATTGTAAGAGAAGAAAAATTGTCTCTAATTGTAGATGACAGGATACTGTATATAGAAAACCCTAAAGATTTCACTAAAAAAATTGTTAGGACTAATAAATTCAGTAAAGTTGCAGGGTTCAAAATCAATATACAAAAATCAGTTGTTTCTATATACCAACAGTGAACTGTCAGAAAGATAAATTAAGAGAACAGTCTCATTTATAATTGAATCAAAAGAGTAAAATACTTAGAAATAAATTGAACCAAGGACATGAAAGATTTATATACTAAAAACTGTAAGACATTGATCAAAGAAATTGAAGAAAATACAAATAAATAGCCCTGGCTGCTGTGGCTCAGTGGATTGAGTGCCAGCCTGTGAATGATAGGGTCATCAGTTCCATTCCCAGTCAGGGCACATGCCTGGGTTGTGGGCCAGGTCCCCAGTAGGGGGTGCAGAAGAGGCAACCACACATTGATTTTCCTCTCCCCACCCCAAAATAAATAAATAAATAAATTATTTTTTTTAAAAAAAGATACAAATAAATAGATATTCTGTGTTTTTGTGGACTGGAAGAATTAATATTGTTAAAATGTCCCTACTACCCAGAGCCATCAATAGTCAGTGTAATCCCCATAAAAATTCCAGTGGCATTTTTAACAGAAGTAGAAAAAACAATTCTAATATTTGTGTGGAATCACAGAAGACCCTGAATAGCCAGCAATCTTAAGGAAAACAAAGGTGGAGGCATCATACTTTCTGATTCCAAATCATATTAGAAAGGTGTTTTAATTAAAACTATGTTGACATAAAAACAGATCAGTGGAACAGAGTGAAGAGCCCAGAATAGACCCACTCATATGTGGTCAATTAATTTATGACAGAGAAACCAAGAATATACAATGAGGAAAGGATAGTCTCTTCAATAAATGGTGTTAGGAAAATTGGATAACTACATGTGAAGGAATAAAACTGGACTCCTGTCTTACACCCAACAGAAAATTCAACTCATAATGTATTAAAGACTTGATTATAATACCTAAAACCATTAACTCCCAAAAGAAAAGGGGGTAGTGGGGAGTAAGCTCCTTCATACTGGTTTTGGCAATAATTTTTTTGGATTTGACATCAAAAGCAAAGGCAAAAGCAAAAATAAATAAGAGGGACTACATCAAATTAAAAAGCTTCTGCAGAGCAACAGAGACCATCAACAAAATGAAGATAGCCTACAAAATAGGAGGAAATATTTGCAATGTTTATGTTTAGTCAGAGTTTAGTCAGAGTTTAATACGCAAAATATATAGGGAACTCATACAACTCAGCAAAAAACATGTAGCAAAAAGCCAAATCATGCCATTTAAATGGGCAGAGAAACTGAGTAGACAGTTTTCAAAGAGGACATAGAAATGTTCGAGTTATATGGAAAGGCGTTTAACATCTCTAATCAGCAGGGAAATGCGAATCAAAATACAATGAGTTATCACCTCACACCTGGTAGAATGGCAGTCAGCAAAAAGACGAGATAAATGTGGGCGAGGACGTGGAGGAAGGGGACCTCTTTACACTGTTGGTGGGAATGTCACTTGGTACAGCATCTATGCAACAGTGTGGCAGTTGCTCAAGGAATTAAAAGTAGAACTGTCATGTGACTCAGCAGTCACACTTCTGGGTATTTATCAGAAGGAAATGAAATCGGTACCTTGAAGAGTTATGTTGGAGTCTGCCCTGCCTGGTCTCAGGAAGCTGTAACCCCCCTGTGACTTAGGCTGAGTGAGAGACCTCCAAACCAGGAGCCACTAGGGAGACAAAACTTATTTCCCTGGCGTGAATGCTGCCTTTTCGGTTCCTGGCCTCCTATGCTTGATCAGTTAGCCAATGACGGGTAAGATTTCCCACGGAGGAGTCGCCTAAGACAGGCATGATCACGAGGAGGCCTCAGGGAAGAGACTCGGGGCTGTGGAAATGAAGGGGTGATGGACATCAACCCCTGCCCCCTCAGCTTTGTCAAAGCCTGAGTCCTTGTTCTTAGATGTGAGAAATCCAAGTCCCCTGGCTGCCTTTGTCTCCTCTGCCCGACTCAGACCTGCGGAAATGACAGGGGTGGTGCAGTCCAGACTAGAGTCGGCGGACACCTGGGGTAATCAGACCTGGGACATAGAATATGCAAGATCCTGGGAGATCTGTTTGCTGGAGGATGTTATTGAATTAGAATTTAAAGGCACAGACAGGAAACCAAAACTAGCCTTTTGGACCCTGTAGTCCTTTCAAATGATAAAACTCCAAACTTTGCCCAGAATCCCAGTGGGAGTTCTGTAAGCACCTTTGAAGGTTACCTATTCCTTTTGATCTTTTCTGCCAGACTGTGAATCCACAAACTGAGTCTGTATTCTTTATAAAAAGCCTTCTCAGGAGGGGGCTCAGCGTACTCTCTGCTAGAGAGAGTGGCCATTCCGTCCCTATTTCCCCACAGGACCCGGTTGTCTCTGTGGATGTTTTTCTCTTGTTTCGACGAGCATCCGCAGCAGGGATGGATACTGCTGGCCGGTATCCTCCACAGAGTTGTATGTACTCCTGTGTTCACTGCCGCATTATTCATAACAGCCAAGATGTGGAAATAACCTAAGTGTCTGTCACTAGATGGTTAAAGGATAAATGATGTATGTAATATATACATATATTATTCTAGAAGAAATCCAGCCATTGTTAATATAACAAGAACGGTGTGCATGACATTAGTGTAACCTGGCAGCCAAGGAGAGTGGACTGGAATGGCATACACGAACAATGACGGCTTCACTGTGCTAGTCAGTGAGGGCGGTAGACACCTTTGAGTGAGCATGTGTACTGTGTGGCCATCGCATTCAAAATGACTGAGTGAGTAGAGCAGTGAATCTACATCCCATTTTGCATTACGCTTGAACATTCTTTTGTGGAAACTATTGGGATGATTCAGAAGGCTGCAGCTATGGGCAACTGGTGATTGGCAGCTTCATCACGACAGTGCACCTGCTCATTCATCATGTCTCATTCAGAGTTTTTTGGCAAAACATCACATCACCCTGGTGTCTCAGCTCCTCTATAACTTGGATTTGACACCCTGTGACTTCTGGCTTTTCCCAAAACAAATCACCTTTGAAAGGGAAGAGATTTCAGAACGTCGATAAAACTCAGGAAAATACGGTGGGGCAGCTGATGGCAGTTAGAACTGTGTGAGGTTCCAAGGTGCCTACCAGGGGACTGAGGTGCCATTGTCCTGTGTACAGTGTTTCTTGTACCTTGTATCTTCAGTAAATGTCTCCATTTTTCATATTACATGGCTGGATACTTTCTGTACAGACCTTATACGTGTGTGCATGTGTGTGTATATATATTGGAATATTATTCAGCTTTGAAAAGAATGGCATCCTGTCTGTGACAGTGTGGATGACCCTGAGGACATTATGCTATGTGAAATAAGTCAGAGAAAGACAAATACTGTATAATATCACTCAAGTGTAATTTGAAAAGCCAAACTCAGAAACAGACTAGGAACGGTGGTTTCAGGGGCTAGAGGGCAGAGGGAAAAGGAGATGATGGTCAGAGGGTGCAGACTTCCAGTTATAAGATGAGTAAGTTTGGGGAACCTAATATACAGCATGGCGATCATAGTCAGTGATAATATATTATATACCTAAAATTTGCAGAGTAGACCTTAAGTGTCCTTACCAGAAAACAATGGTAATTATATGATATGCTACAGGTTTTTCCTAAGTATGATGGTAATCATATTGCAATATATGTGTATCAAATTAACACATACACCTTAAACTTCCACAAGGTTATATGTCAATTAGATCTCAATAAGCTGGGGGGGATCTCATTTCTAATATACCGTATTGCTTTCTATTCTGAATTATTGCTGGTTTCTTCTTTATTTTTAAGGATTTTTAAGTTGTTTTCAGTGAGTTGTTAGATGTCAAATATGCAAAAAAAATGTCTTGCTGACCACTTTACAAGGTATTATGAATAATAAATACAATCATAAATCGTAATCCTTGTTGAAGTAGGGACTTATTGTTGAATTATAGAAATCACTTTTGTGAAAAGACTGAAGAACATATTTCAGAGTGTTGTCAATAGATGCAAATCAATATGATTTAAATTGATGATAGTGGAGAAGATGCTGAGTAGCTAAAGAGTTAGTAGGGTCAGTAATGGGATACTTTGCAGGGAAGAGTTACTTTGAAGATGTTTAAAATTTTAAAGAAATTTGAAGTGGTAACATCAAGTAGAAGAGCTGGTGATGAAAAGCCATCATCTCATACTACATCTCCTTTACCTCATTCTGGAAGTGTTCTCTTAATCATTATTTAGGTGTTCTCTTAAACATTCTAGAAGTGTTTTCTTAATCATTATTTATGTGTGATAGTAACTTCCAGTGTGTGTGTGTGTGTGTGTGTGTGTGTGTGTGATATTTAATGTGTACATAGATAAAGGAGTATATATACCATATACACTTTATATATATAGTGTGTGTATACATATACACACACATGATGAAGTAGTCACCTGAATGTGATTATATTTCCAGCTCTGGATTTACTGATTTTGAACTATAGCTGTTGATTCCTAGATAAAAACAAAGATTTCACTCACTTATCCTGTTGTTTTTCCTTCCATCATGCTTGGAGCTAAGGACAAAGAATAATTTTTTTTTTTGCTCATGATTTTATGTATGTTTTCAAAATCTGTACACATTCCAATTTAATTTCTGATCTCATTTGCATTGGACTGTATCTAGAATAAGTAAATTTGAATTGCTTTAGGTTGACAGCTATTAGTGATTGTGTAGTTTAATTTAACAGTCCCTTTGGAACAAGTCAGAATTTCATGCTGACTTAAAGGCGATGTATCAGTGCTCAGTGTACTTGTTAAGGATTTTGAGGAAGGAAAAGGAAATCTGGAAGCACTTTACAGGTAGCGGGATTATTCAGGGAAGAGAGAGAGGGTAGTGAGCAGGATTACGATTCAAGTTTAGCTTTGGGAGGGCCTTCCATTCCAAAGTATTAGGAAGAGGAGATAAGAGGTCTTGAAAAGTAGGAATAATGATCTTACTCTTGAAATGAGGGGAGAAAGAGTACCTCTTCTGTCTCCTTTCATTTATATGGTCTTCTGTGTGGGGACATTAGGCTGCCTTTCTGTCCCTCGATTCTGTGTTTCCGCAGCATATTCATTAGTGCCTGGTGTGAGACTGACACTGACCACTGTGGCACATTTGTGTTCCATTTAGCACAAATAATTTGTCTCTTTTTTAGTCCTTTGTAAGTCCAGTTGGCAAATGCATTGTACTGATAAATTCCATTTTTTTCCGTTTTAAGATTAGATTGAAATGTGCATTCATAATCTAGAAACTGATTGTTATGAGATATTTCTGAAGTGCTTCATAGTTTTTAAATGTAAGGTTTTCATACAGCACTTTCAGAAGAGTGTTTGAGTGTTTTAATCTTTCCTTAATTCTCTCTCTACACTTCAGCCAGCTTCTGGATTTTGATTGTATCTTCCAAATAACTCAGAGGCTTTTCAAATATTTCTTCTCAGTTTTCTTTCAAAGTAGGTCAGTTTAAATTTTATATCTGACTTGCAGATGGAAAATCTGAAGCCCAGGAAAGTTAGGTAATTTACCAAAATTTTAATAATTAGTGGCAGAAGTTAAGTAAAAACCAAGGTCTTCTGAAGTCTTGTCATTTCTCTATCTATCAGATGAATAAAGGCTAATAGAGGTCTATTAGGTACTTTCCAGTTGGCTGTATTCTTTTAAACATGTAATCAGGTCATTTAATATAAAGGCTGTAATTATGATCTGGTGATTGAAATGACTTACTCAAAGTTAAAAAAAAAGATTCGGTACAAACCCAGGAACTTATAAAATTCTCCAAACTAGTCTCTCTTATAAAGTGCTTGGCAGTGTTGTATCCTACAGTGTAGGATGTTGGAATTGGTCCGTAACAGGAATGACATTACCTCAGTGATCTTGCTGTGTTCATTTTATTTAAATGCCGAATTGGTTTTGGTTGTAAAGATATTTCTTTCCCCTCCGGGTATCTGAGTATTGGTCTCTCAAACAGGGTGTTCAGGGAATGGTGTGAATGTATGCATTTAACTCGCTAACATATAGTTAGTTAGTCCCACATCCTGGACAGTCTCTAACCCAAAGTGACGTTTTGCTGACTCTGATATTAAATCCTAAATAAGAGCTAAATATAGTGCCTACTATAAGAAAATCGTGAGCTCAGGGAAAATGTTGGCAAAGCATCTTTCACTGTTCCTTAGATCGTCTTCATCACCTGGAAGGGCTCCCACGTCTGCCTGTGATCATGACCAGCCTCTCCTGCAGTCCTGCTTTTTTGAGAAAACAGGGATCTGTGCCTCCTCTGTGTTGGGCCTACGGAACCAATTGCTTTTAGCTCTTCTTAGAATGAGGCTGTTTAAGGAATGAGATTTCCCTTGTGAAGACCGTGATAGTGCCAGAAGCTTTCGTCCCAGACTGAGAGCCCTCTGTCACACTAACTTGGTATGAGTAGGGCAAAATGAAATCAGCCACCTACCTGTGGAGACCCTCAATGTGGATAGCTCTGAGAAGCCAGGAGCTCTTTCTTTTCCTTCCATGGTTTGTTTGTGGATCGTTGCTGTTTTTTCTTCCTTCAAGGCCTGAGTTTACACCTCTGTGCTATGGAGGGCCATGTTCCCACTGCTTAGCATTTCCTCCTGTGCTGGTGCAGGTCTCAGACCCAGTTCCGCTCCTCTCTCTGCTAGCTGAATTGCCAGAATATGAGGACAAGTCTGCCCCATTCCCTCAGAAGTCACATAAAGAAACATGAGCTATTATATAAGGACCCTTTTAAGGATTACCTAGGCTTTCGTACTTGTTTTGTCTTGAGCCCCTGAATTTCTGAAAGACTGTTGACTACATCTCAGTTTTCTCATAGAGCCTTCTCAGAGCTCCTTTCAATGTCTTCAGCCAGTCTTTAGCTACCTTCATTTGGGAGCGAATGATACTACCTGTTGCCTTTTTGAAAACAGTGATGCTCCAGGCACTGTGTACTGTGTGGATTGGGTTGATGAGGAGGACTTAAACTGTCCCATAGCAGGTACGTGTAGAGCTATAATTGAACATACTCAAGTCATAGTTCCCTTTTAATTGAACATACTGCTCCCCACCAAACCTGAACTAGTCAGGTCATTCTCTTAGTTAAATTCCCTAAAAGGGTTCACCTAAGAAGAAGAGATGAGGGTTGATGATAGGTCTGTAAAGTGCAGAGTAGAATCTGTTCTATTTCATGTAATCTGAGAGAGTACTCTCTCAATAGTATGTTTTTTGTCTGGAAGCATGCATTATAGTGAGAATGTACCTGCAAAATTATTGACATAATTCTTTTAATTCTCAGATTTCTGCACTGAGTGGCCTGCTGCACTAGACAGTGATGAAAAATGTGAGAAGCATTTTCCCATTGAAATTGACACAGCTGATTATGTTTCATCAGGACCATCTGTTCGAAACCCCAGAGCACGAGCAGTAACCTTAAGGGTAAGAGATAGTTTAAAAAAACTATTACAATATATTACTTTAAAATAGCATTTTGTGGATTTTATTATAAAACTGATACATATTTATTATAGAAAATTTAGACAATATGTCTTTCAAAGTATAAAATAAAATTACCTATAATTCTGCTACTCATAAATAACCACTGTTGACTTACAAGCTCAGTTTAGTACATGCGCAGTCAGCCTGTTGTATGTTAATGGAATGATGCTCTATTTGATTGCTCTATCTGCTATTTTTCATTTAATAATATGAATTAAATTCATATTATTTTCCCAAAGGCTTCCGACATTCTTTGCATTGTATTTAACAGCTGCACAAGAGAGCACGTAAACGAAGGTCTGCTGTGTGCCGAGCAGGGCCTGAGGCTGCGCATGCAGTGCAGACCCCTCAGGCCCGGTCCTACCTCTGAGACTGAGGTGGGAGATACGGACAGACAATTGCTCAGTGTAGATCTGCCGTAATTTGTTTAAGTTACCAAATTGTGGTATCTTTAGGCTTTTTTTATTACTGATTTTGGAGAGAGAAAAGGAAACATCGATTTGTTGTTTCACTTATTTATGCATGCGTTGGTTACTTCTTGTAACATTTAATGTGTCCTGCCTTAGCAGGAATTGAACCTACAGTCTCCATGTGTTGGGATGATGTTCTAACCAACCGAGTGAGTGACCCGTCCAGGGTGACCTTCAGGCTTTCTGACTCTTTTTTGACATGTATTTGTAAAAGTTTTTTTTGATTATGTACTGTAAATTCCTGCAGGAAATGTAACAAATGCAATGCCATCAGAGTGTGAGAAAGCCTGTTTTTCTATACCCTCACCAACCTACATGTTATTATGACCTATCAATTTTATTGGTAAAAAATACATCTTACATATATTAAAATTTGTCTTTTAATTCTAATGAGGGTGAGAATTTATTCTTTTGTGAAATGCTTTTTTTTGTTATTTGTCCATTTTGATGGTATATTGATATCTTATACTCATTTTTTCTTTTTAATGATAGTTCTATTAAAATACAGTTCATAGACTATGGAAGTCACCCTTCCAAAGTGTACAGTTCAGTGGTTTTAAACATATTCACAGGGTTGTGCAACCATCACCACTGCCTAATTCCAGAAATTTTCAACCCCGTAGAAGAAACCGCACATCTATTATCAGTCACTTCCCATTGTCCCTCCTTTTCCACTCCAAGCCCTTGTCGACCACTAATCTACTTTGTCTCTTTCCATCGCCTGTTCCTGCCATTTCTTCTAAGTCATGCAGTATGAATACTCTCACTCAGTAAAATGCGTTCACTGTCTCATCTGTTGTAGCATGTGTCAGTTCTTTGTTCTTTCTTTATTGCAGAATAATATTCCATTTTACAAGTATACTAGATCTTTATTTATAGATATATGGGTTGTTTCCACTTTTTGGCTATTACAAATAATGCTGCTGCGAACACTCATGTACATATTTGTATGGATATATGTTTTCAGTTCTGTGGGTGGTATAATTGCTGGGTTGTATAGTGACTCCATGTTTAACTTTCTGAGGAACTGCCAAACCGTTCTGACAAAGTGGCTGCACTGCTTTAGAGTCTCACCAAAAATGCCTGAGGGCTCCAGTTTCCCCACGTCCTCACCAGTGGTTGTTACTCTCAGACGTTTTCGTTTTCGCCATGCTAATGGGTGTGAAGTGGTCCTTCATTGTGAGTTTGGTTACATTTCCCTGGTAACTTGCCCTGTTGAGACTTTTCCTTGTGCTTACTGACCATTTGATTGTCTTCTTGGAGAAATGTCTATTTAAATCCTTTGCTTGTTTTTCAGTTGTGTGATTGCTGTATTTGTTGTTCACTTGTGTTTTTTATATACTCTGGATACCAGTTCCTTAACAGATGTGTGTCTTGCAGATATTTCCTCCCATTCCATACATTGTCATCTCACATTCTCAGTGCTGTCTTTTTAAACACAAAAGTTTCAATTTTGATGAAGTCTAGTACATGCAGTTTTTGGGGTTTTTTTTGTCTTGTTCTTTTGGTACCATATGCAAGAAACCACTGTGTCATTCAAAGTGGTGAAGATTTAGTCCGATGTTTTCTTCTAAGGGTTTTACAGCGTTGTCTCTTGTATTTAGGACTGTGATGATTCACTTTCTGTTCATTTTTGTGTATGGCATAAGGTAGGGGTTCAGCTTCCTTCTTCTGCATGTGGGTATTCATCTGTCTTAGCACTGTTTGTTGGAAAGACTGTTCTTTCCTCATTGAATTGTCTTGCCACTCTTGTCAAAAGCGGTATACTTGTTTTTTTAACTTTTCACTTGGCCACTTTACCAAATTCTGTTTTTTAACCTTTTATTATAAAAAATTTTAAATGTCTGGAGATGTAGAGACAGTAGTACAATAAACATACATGGCACCTTGACTTAGTAATTAATATTTGACATTTAAAATATTGAGTGCTTCATATACTAGCACACACATGTCTATATATATTTTAGTGGTTTTGGTTTAAGTGTTTAAAATTACTAATTTCTGACATTTTGCAATAAGATCTCTAAATTGAAAAGATTTTCTTACATAATTCTAGTGTAATTAATACAGCTAACAGAAGTTTGGATAATTCCTTAATTTCATCATCTAAAATATCTACTCCGTACTCCATTTCCAAGGAAACAGAAAGGAAGATTGAATGAGTTGTTTAAGATCAGTTAGCCAATAAATAGCAAATCTAGAAATCAAATCCAGTTCTTAAATGTAATACCAGAGTTCTGTAACTAATTGCACTGTACTTGTAAATAGAGAAAATATTTCACACATTTAGACATTGTTCAATTTATGTAGCTCTTTTAAATATGGGCATTTGAAGATACACACATATAGTAACCACAACCTCCTATGATTTGAAATGTCAACATTGTTTTGAGGTCAGTGTTAATAGTACCATATAGATTCTTTAAAATACAGCAACTTGACAAAAGAAAAGCCTAAGGATTCTTTTAAATTTTGGAACAAGAATGACGATGAACGCTGTTCAACTTCAAAATCAGATTATCGTCCAGGTTAAAGACTACAGTTTTGCAGTGCCTTCGAGTGCTAGCAGATGGCGTGAGTGCACCACACAGCTGTGTCTGAAATATTTATGAGTTTCTGGCATAAACTCCATATAATTTTTGAATATTAAAATGTTAATGTGAGCATGAGTTTTAAAGCAGTTGTTACAATAATGATCAGCATTACTGCCATTTTTTTGGACTACTTCCCATATAAAAAGCTAAAACACTTCAGTTTTTCAAATGGTAGATTTTAAAATTTACTGTTAAACATCATGGTTTCATTGAAGGGAGTTTTAAAAGGAAAAAAAGTCCCTATATTTTCATTAGCCTAAGGTAAAAGCTATTCATTTCTTTCTCTTGACTATATCTATGCATATATGTATGTATTTTCATAATTATGATCATAATGTAGACCCATTTTATGATTTTCTTATAAATAATGCTCTGTATTATTAATGATCAGAGTTATCATAAAATTGCTTATTTTATCCATCAAGCTGATAACCTGGTCATTGATACATTTTTTTTCCTGGGGTCTATGATATTTCACATTGTCTCCAACATATAACCTTTCTATTGGATTGATATTTAATAGTTCTTAGTATTTATGGTTATTAAGATTGTGTTTATATTGTTTTCTTTTTTCCAGTTCAAATAAAATTCATAATGCTTAAATAAACAGTATATTTCTCCCTTGTTTTTACTTATGTATACATTCAGCACATATGTGTTAAATGTTTTTTAAGTGCTAGTCCATTGCCTAGAACAAGACAGACATCTTTCTTACCCTCAAAAGTTTGCAGTTGTGGCAAAATAGTAAGTTCTTTTGCTGTGGTGTCTTCAGGCAAGTGCAGGGTTATGGGAGCTAGAGAGAAGAAATGGATGGGATTTCAAAATCTTACTTATTAGCCTTTTTCTTCTTCAGATAGTTATGACTCTTTCTTATTCTTAAAGTTCTCCATGGAAAAATAATCTGTGGTTTTACCTTATTTAACTGTATTCTAGTGTCTAACTTATTTTCCTGTGTCAAGCCTATTCATCTCTAGATAATAACTTCAACCATGCCATAATTCTCTGCACATTAACAAGTGTGTTTATTTAGTCTATCATTTCCCAAAATACGTTTTACGGAAGAGTAATTTCATGAATTGTCCCTTGAAAAGTGGAATCTGAGGTCAAATAAATTTGGAAATCATTACATAACAACTCTGAATCTTGACATTTCACAATGTTTATTAAATATTACCTCCTCTAAGAAATCCTGCTGTAAAGAACCTAATTTAACTTAGCGTTTCCTGAATGTATTCAACACACATAGCCCTTTTAAAGAAATAATTCTTCTTGTCAGCCTGTGGGACTAGTATTGTCATTTTGAGTAATATTGGGCTATATTATTTCAAATGTTTTGATCTTTTGATGCTATATTCCAACCTCTGTGAGAGAATTGTAGCTTTTAAAGTAAATGACCCTAAACTAGTTGGCATGGTATGGGTCTCATAATTGCATGGTAGAAATTTCTTAAAGTCCTTATGTTTTACAATGACTGTATTCCTATATTCCAGCTTTACTAATACTAATTGAGTTTAATTCTATTAGGTAATGCTACTCATGAGCACCCTAATTTCATTTATTTAAGAGACATGCCATTGATTCTTTCAGGAAGGGTACCAATGCCCAGAACTTTCAAAGAGCACAAAACAGTTTGCTCCCCCCTTTTTTTCCATGAGTAAGATCATAATGCAGGCCAGATGCTAACTCTGTATAGAAAAGAGTTTGAAAAGGTTTCCTTTTGCTTATTTTAATGTTAATTTAAATAACATTACCATTTTTTTTAAATTAAATGAAGTATATGAAATAATCTTTTTCAAATAATTTTTTTCTTGTAATTTTAAGGTTAAACTTTCCAGTTTGAATTTAGATGATCATGCAAAGAAGAAACTTATTAAACTTGTAGGAGAGCGGTACTGCAAGACCACGGATGTGCTTACCATCAAAACAGATAGGTAAAGAAAGAAAAGTTGAGCTGGTCTGCCACGTGTGTTCATTGTCCTCCCATCCCCTGCAGTCCTTTTTAAAGAAATGACATTGAAAATAAGGATAGCCTTTTATATCAACTTATATTAGCGTTATTAGGTCGAGAAGTTGTCTAATTTATATTTTTGGTATCACATTAGTCTACTGTTGTTGAGATCTTTATATACGTGGAGAGGCTTGCCTTGATGAGTTAAATTATTGTTGCAATTTTTAACCTTGATTTTAATGTATCTGTGTATTAAAATTCACAGAAGGCAGGGGAAGCAGGGGTGGAGGAATAAAATCACAGAAGGTGTTAGAAGAAAACAGAAGTATGATTTGCTAGTGATTAATGCTTAAACAAGCTTTACAAAGTCAAAGTGTATAAAAATCTTATAGTTCACAACTAAAATTATTCAATTAACTTGGAATTTAATTTACCAAGGTACTTGTGTAAATAAGCAGAATTTCAATGCTAGCATAGAAGTTCATTAAAGCAGTATTAAATTTATTTTATATGAATTTATAAATTAGGTCATTTGAGGTAAAGAAAGGTTATTGGCATGTTTTCACTATGTGGTTATTTTATTTCTAGAATTATACTTTGGTTGTTTCCAAATTATGTCAAAATATAAAAGACTTGCCTTAAGAGAAAAGCACCTGGGTGGGTACATCCTCTCTCCTTCCCTGTCCATTCCAGAGCATTTGGAGGTGTTATTATCGCTGGGCTCATGTCCTGCGTAGTGGTGGGAAGAAGTAGCAATCTAAAAATTAAACATGCCCTCTCATATTGATATACAAGTTTTACCTAATATTAGGTCATTAGTTCTATTTTAAATACAACAGCAGTAATATATCATTGCATAGTGTAGCTCATTTTTAAAAGAATTGGCTTTGGGAATATCAAGATGAATGTTTAGATTAGCATCTATCATCAGTCTGTCTCTATTTTTTAAATGAATTAAACGTATATGCTTATGCTGTCCAGCAGATTCTTAGCTCTGAGATGATAGATACTTGGATTGAACACATTATATTAAAATTTCATAAAGCTGTCATCAGATAAAATAACTCCATTAGTTATGAAAGCAAAGAGATACCCTAAATAAAAATTTTTTAAAAGTTTTCCATATCCTCAAACAGTGAATTACATAGACTATTATTCTAAGAACTGAGTTTTCCTGGAACAGATACAGAATATCTGAATGTAAGTTACCCTTTGTATTAAGTATTTATATACTTGGCAAATAATTCTGTGTACTGAATTTTTGGAATTTTGACTTCCTCCCTCTCTCTTTTTTGAAGGTGCCCATTAAAGAGACAGAATTATGATTATGCAATGTATCTGCTAACAGTTTTGTACCACGAGTCTTGGGTAAGTGATTGTGAATGTTTAATTGTTTTGTCAGTGTGCATTCAGATGATGCCTTACACTTTCAAAAACAGTAGGTGTGGCAGGTACTCAGTTTAATGAACCACTGGATACACGAAGGATGTGTGAAATATGATAAATAGTTTCTACTGGCATTCAAAGTGAGGATCTCGAAATAGATTATGCAGTTTGTCTCAGGACCTTACAAAAAATCAGATGGCTAAAATGCCTTTAAAATTCTAGGTTTCTGACTTCTGTTTGAAGATTTAGAATATTTAACTTTTTTTGTTTGTCTGACATTGGCTGAAAGTTGTGAAAGCTATGGAAAGATAATCATCATCTGTATAACTGGAGAATTTATAATTCATAGTTATTCAAATAAACTGCAGAACAAAGCTCCAGAACTTTATAAAAAGGTATTTTAAATTTTTACTAAAATTTTTAGTTAACACATAGCCATATAAACATTTCACTGGGATACATTAGAGACAATGAAAGGGAATTAATTATTTAAATAGTATTAGAAATAGCCTTTTGTCCTGGTTGGTATGGCTCAGTAGATTGAGTGTGGGCCTGCAAACCAAAGCGTTGCTGGTTCGATTCCCAGTCAGGGAACATGCCTGCATTGTGAGCCATGTCCCCAGTAGGGGGTGTACTAGAGACAACCACACATTGATGTTCACTGCCCCTCTTTCTCCCATCCTTCCCCTCTCTTTAAAAATAAATAAATAAAATCTTTAAAAAAGTCTTTTGTCTGACTGAGAGTTTTAGTATATGTGTACACATTTATAAGGAAGATATTGCTATATTTAAGCATCAATGCGTCTGATTTAATGTTGGTAACGTTTAGGTCACTCAGAGTTTAAAATTTTATTTTTAAAAATTAAAATAATTTTAGATATGCATACAAATTAAATTTTTTGTAGCTTGCCCAAGATAGACATGAGACTCAATAGCATTTCCCATTAGGAGCATATGAAGGAGTACAGGCAGTTGGAGAAAGAATCACTCCCTTTAGACATTCAAAGGATTTCATGTAAAAGGTGAGATTTCCTTTTCATGACTTTAAGCCTTGAAGGAAGGGATACAGCAAGTAATAGTGATACAGACTTCAGTTCACTGGGAGAAAGCTTTGAGTCGTCTAAAGATGGAGTGGCTTACTTTAATAGGTAGGAAATGTTCCTACACAATTGGGGATATGGATAAATATTGCATTAAATGGCCTTTGGAACTCCTTCCATCCATGAGATGCTGTAACTGTGGACACATGCTGCTGTTCTCCGAACTGCTCATTTCATTGATATTCACAAAACAGTTGTAGCATAAAAGGATGAGTGGGAGTAAGAGAAAATAAAACAGTCATACAAGGTTAGTAAAGAACAAAAAGTAGCTAGCAGCTCTTCTTTTCTTTTAAGGTCTTTTGATTATCATAATTCATATGGGTTTTCTAATTTCTGGCTTCAGGAGCAGCATGATTGCCGCAGTTAATCTCTCCTGTCAGTTGATTTTATAAATGCCTTTGGTGTAAGATAACAAAGTTCCCTTTTGAACTAGCAACATGGTGGCATCAGCTATAGCCCTATGACTGACACTTAAAGAATTTAAACCAAACAATAAACGATAAAAGCCAATCAATTTTGAGTTTCTTATTTTGCCAGCAACCTATAAAATGAATTTTCCCTAAAGGAAATGATAAGCACAAATCAATTCAGTGAAAGTTGCCTTTGACTTTTAATTCTAATAAGTAGCCACATACAACTGTTCTAAACAGATATTATTTAAAAATTCCTATATTAAAGTTGGCACCTGATCCTTTCTAAACAAGGACCATTGGTGAAGAAGCTTTAAAGGCAGATGAGCTATGAAATTTGCAGAGCTGGTGCAACAGAGTTTTTATTGAAATGAACTTTTTTTCTTCACCAGCATGAAATTCATACTTTGAGATGAATGCTACCACCTGGTATTTAATCAGATATTTAGAGAACCCCCTTTTAAAACATTCCTGTATTTTTAAAAAAATTTTTACTTACTGATTTGAGAGAGAGAAACATCAATCGGTTGCCTCCCATACATGTCCCAACCAGGGATTGAACCTGCAACCAAGGTATGTGCCCCGACCAGGAATCAAACCTGCAACCTTAGGGTTATGGAATGATGTTCCAACCAACTGAGCCATCTGGACAGGGCCATTCCTTTATTTTTTAGGCTAGTTTCAGAGCATTTAATACAAAAGGCTAAGCTTGTCTTATTTTTTTTAGCTTTTTAAACTTTCCATGGAGGTTATCTCTAAGAAGTGTTGAGAGGAAAGTAGTTTTCTGTATCACAGTTACTGAAACGTCTCTGAAAAGGTGTTCAGTATAAGGAAGGTACTGTTGTGTGCTCTTCAAAACAATTTAACTGTAGAAGCATCAAAGTAGCCTTCAAAAAACAGACTTCACAAAACATAGACTTCAGGCATGGAGGCTTGCTTTGTCACATTTCAAAGAATGATTTGTGTAGTGCTAGCAAGGTGGTAAGAGACCGATATACATCACACATTTATTTTTCAGCAGCTCTAAGAAGCAAAGAGACCTGTAGAAGTTGGGTTCAGTATTCCACCACCACACATTGTGAGCATAGGAGTGAGTTAAGCTTTAACCTTGGGAACCACGTAAACCTGGATTGGAATCCCATTGCTTGTTCCTTCTGCAGCCTTGGTCAGCCATTGCACCTCTGAGGCTCATTTTTGGATGGATCAGGGAGAATATATGTGAAATGTCTGGCAAATAGTGGGCTCTCAGTAAAGTGGCTTTTTAGTATTGTTGCTAATACTTAAATGAGGAAGTCTTAGAATCGTAAATTCATGTGTTTCCAATTTCTGTGTACAGCTCGGGTTTAATCTGACAGAAACTTTATACAGGGAGAGAGGTCTGTGCCTTGTTGCATTTAAAGTTTTAGAACACATTCTACTTGCATTCTGACATAACTGATAACGACGAACGCCCAAATTTTAATTTTGCTGTATGATATTATTTAAACCTTCTACAGGCGATCTGGTTAAGAAATGATTGGATGAAATATTTTACAAAGTGATTTGTGCAAAATACAGACTAAAACACGGGCACTGCGGGGAGGAAAAAAGCACTTGTTTAGAAAACAGGGATCTAAAAATCCTAAGTCCTAGGGTCCTAGGATGGTTGATATTTAATTACTAGTGGTTGCTTTTTTAAATTTGAAACTTTTGGCTGTGTTATTTGGATTTCATAGTAGTCTTATTGCTAGTCAAAATATATTTTTATTCATTCCATCATTGAAGCACACTCAGGTTGTTTCCATATATTAGTTATTGTAAGTAATGCTGCAGTGAACATGGGGTGCTGGTATCTTAGTTAGCGTTTTTATTTCCTTTGGGTAAAGACCCAGAAGTGGCAGTTCTGGGTCACATAGTAGTTCCATTTTTAATTTTTGGAGGGGTCTTCACACTCTTTGCATAGTGACTGCCACTGTGCATTCCCACTAAGTGTATGAGTCCTCTTTTTCCACATCCTTGCTGATGCCTCCCTCCCCCTCCGTCCCTCCCTCCCTCCCCCCTTCCTTCCTTCCTTCCTTCCTTCCTTCCTTCCTTCCTTCCTTCCCTCTTTCCTTCACTGTCAGTCTTATTTTGGCTGAAATACTGAAGGCAATAAAAGGGAGTGAATCTTAGCTCAATCATCTGGGAGAAATTTTAAAAATTATGGGCGGGATATGTAATAGCAAGTTAATTTTTCTCCAGCCTGCCATTGTTCATTTATTTCACCTTATGAAGCACCATTTTGTACCTAAGAAGGAATAAACGATGGTTATGCAGCAAGGCCACAAGAAATTCTTTTAGAACTGCTAGATAATTAGCAAATAAAATCCCAAAGGAGAAATACCTGAATGGAAGGAGAATAGATTAATCCAGAAGAAAATTTATCTATCTCCATAATCTGTTTTCTCTGGACTTGCATCATACTCACCTATGAAGCTTTTTAAGACCCTATAGAATCAAAATCTCCAGTGGAGAGACTCAGGCTTGTTTCATTTTAAAGTCTCCATGGGTGATTCTGATGCTGAGCTCCGACTGTGAGTAAGGTTTTGAGTGTTGTATATCTCTTTTAATCAGTTGTAAACAAACTGATTAGAGGGTGGCGTGTCTCTTTTAAGACATTTTTTTTAACATGTATGTAGTGTCAGACCTGAGGGCATGGGGTGGAGATTTGAGTGAGAGGTCCAGGAACTGGACGGGTTTGTCTGTTGTACACACATTGAATTTTTTACTTCCCGTGCTAGGTGGTGGCAACTGTTCTAGATTCTTGAGTAGGATGATAATATATTGAAGATAACACTCCTCAGGTTTCTTTGCCTTTGGGCAATACTTTGTTTTACTTCTGATGTTCTGGAGCCTACCATGTTCTTAAAGACCTTTAGAAAGTTTCTGTTCTTTCCCACCCAGTGGTTGAAGTCATGAACCTGAGCATTATACGGTTTTCTTCCCTCACCCTCTCCCCTGATATCTAATTAGTCATTAGGTCCTCTCAGGTTTAGCCTTTCAACATCTGTTAAAACTATGTTTTCCTCTGTATCCCTACTGCTACTACCCTAGTATGTATGGGTCTTCTTCATCCTTTAGCTTTTTTTTTTAAGATTTTATTTATTTAGTTTTAGAGAGAGGGAGAAAGAGAGGGAAAGAACCATTGATGTGTGAGAGAGCCATTGATTGGTTACCTCACACAAACCCCAACCAGGCACCTGGCCTGCAGCCCAGGCATGTGCCCCTACTGGGAATTGAACTGGAGACCTTTTGGTTTGCGAGATGACACCCAACCCACTGAGCCACACCAGTCAGAGCTGTAATAGCTTTATTGATTTTCCTGTCTCATTCATCTTCCATGTTGCTGTTAAAGTAATTGTTCTAAAAAACAAGTCTGCTATGTCTTATTTTTTTTTATAAAGTCCTTTAGAGGTTCCCTGTTACCTAGGATTAAATCTATAAACTCCTTAGC